TTATCCGAAATATGTGGTTTGTTTGGTTGCTCTTGAATGATTGTGTAGAATCAAGCAAGGAGCATGTTTTGCATGATGAACCACAAAGATGACTACCCAAATTACGGTTGTCGCAAGAGTTAGTTCAAGAGTATTCATCATATATATATATATGATGAATACAATGTTGATCCCATGCATTGGTTGATATGAACAAGAAAAAAAGACATCAAAGGCATAATATGTTGTTTCAGGTTTATTCCAAACGTTTCGCCGGTTAGGGCTTCATCAGTGGACTAACATCGTACGGTATATTACAAAGCAACGTATAATAAGACAAAGGCCTGTTACGGTCGAATGACTATGCATTGACTAGGCCTACTAATATCTTGGCTCGGTTCCAGTAGATACGGAGAATGTTTTGTCACTGTTAACGCGTCCTATAAAATTCTTACGAGACAGCACTAGTCCGTGAATTTGTGAACAAGATCGGAGATCTAAAGATGCAATCTCTACCGTTCATCAATGGCGGCCCGCTGGATCTCAATAGAGATTCTTTAATAATATATACATTTTGAAAGGCAAATGGGAAAAACCCATAAAACAACAAACGGCCACATAATGCAAAACTATATAAAATTTGCATTTAATCTTGTCACTTTCAATTTCGATGGATTAATCGATTTATTGTGCTATTTTATGATTCATCCGGAATTAATACTTCGGTTAGGTGGTACTTGGAGAACCACTTGAAAGGCATTCAGATTTGCGCGCTTCCCGTTTACCATGCTACACTCAACATACTACACTTGTTCAGATTCAAAATCACTTCATTTGTTATATAAGTGTTCATGGGTTGTGTCCTCGTATCTTTTTTTATAGGCCTATTAATTTTCAATGTGATGAAATAAGTGAACTGATATAAATTACGTTTTGATAGATGTATTCAGTAGACGTAATGGTCTAGTGGTAAAAGTCAGTGATACGTCGAACTTCACTGAATGTGACCAGTGTGGTTCCACTATATACAAGGCCGACGGACCGATTGTTGAAAGGAAATGTCCCCTCACAAGGACTTGGCAATTTGTAAAGATATTTTCACCACAAGCTCTCAACGTATGCGAAGTTGAAATATTTGGTTTGTCTTTTTTTTTTTCAATTATTAACAATTTTTATCTTACCTGTTTACTAATATTTTCATTGCAATAAAGACAATTTGAATTTGAAATTTTATATACTGTAGTTTCCAAACCGAGAACCAGCAACCTTTGGAGTGTGCCTACCATCCGGCGCTGCTCGTCAACTTACTCATCATGTCAATCAGTTCATTTTCAACCTAATCTATTATCAACATGAGTGGCGCGAACAAACGATGCAAGTTTGATTGATTATAATTGCTACAATTATAATGCTATAATTATCATTTAGAACAAAATGATAATTATGACAATAATAATAATAATAATAATAATAATTTATAAATTGATGGTAATGATAATGTTAATAATAATAATAATAATAATAATAATATTAATAATAATAATAATAATAATAATTTATAAATTGATGATAATAATGGTAATAATAATAATAATAATAATAATATTTCAATTTATAATGATTGATGCCCTCCATGTGAAGCACAGTATTATCTATCAAAATATTAAATAAAACAGAGATCCAAATAGTAAGCCCTTATCCATGTTTTACGGCGTTTCGAAAATTTACGTTATTGGTTCAAAAAGAAGCCGTCTCAAGAATAGTAAATAAAGATTAGGTCTCTATTATTCTATGAACATGATTCTACTTCCAAGTGCAATCAAATGCTGCATTCAATGACTCTATTTGTTGTGATTTTTTTTAGAAGCAAATCTGGGAAACGCATATTTTAAGACGCGTACTACAACCAATGAATTTGGATGTAAGTTCGGACTGAATGAATCTACACAAAGATTATGTATCAGATGTGCGATGCGTTGTTTAAGGGATCATCGGTGCGAGTCGTTTGAATACGACGGAGATTCGCAATGCCAGCTACAATTGGAAAGGGACCAAGGTGAACAGCTCAGAAATACACGATTATGGAATGCCAACCGAATCGTTCATTCTCGTTAACTGTTTGGCATCTTTGTCATTGCTCGACTTGAATCGTAATGAAAAGAGTATTGGTTCGTGTTGAACGTACAATGAATGTACAATTCGAATTGATGTTTGCACCGTATTAATTGTACTAAATACAATTGCTTTGTAATGGGATTAACTGTTATTGAGTAGGCCCATGTCAACCATTATTTTAACAAAATACATTTAAATTATGTTAACGTAATTTTCAAAAATTAATATAGGGGCAGTAGAATATTATACTTTATGATTTCCTTTTAATAGGTCTATAATTTATTACTTCAGTTGTTAGTTAATTATTTTCCTTTGGTTTGATTTTCCTCACTGTACAAACAATTGGCCAGACAAGGATTCATATTTAACGGTTGAGTCAGTGGTGGCACCAGCGGTGGGCTGGAGCCAGCCTATCTCATCCCACCACCATATTTCCAGCTCCAATAATAATAATAATAATAATAATAATAATAATAATAATAATAATAATAATAATAATAATAATAATAATAATAATAATAATAATAATAATAATAATAATAATAATAATAATAGTATTATTATGGTGGTGGAATGAGATAGGTTGGTCAATAAAGGAAATTTCACTGTACTACGTTAATCACAATCTTATTTAAAGTCTAATGTTTACTTGCTTTTTAAAACATTTTACTGTACAGTTATCGACTTATTTTAAGTTATGTTTTTTTTTTTTGTATACATCTTTTCTTAGGAAGGGTGCCACTTATACAAATGTTATAGTTTCCAGATAAATAGACTGCTGGTGTATCTTTTACCATCATGTAGGAAATACTTTCAGAGGAATAACTTTAGACCTTAATACTCATTTTCGTGATTATGCATTTAATTTGCCTTAAATGCATAATAGTTAAATTTGCGTGATCTATAATATTTTCACTAAGAAAATGTTTTAGTCTTGTAAGCATTGACAAACGAAGAGAGCCTTACCTAAATAGGGCCTAAGACCTATGACCTCTCAAATGTTTACATTGTCAGTTCGGGGACTTCAAGGAAGTAGAGTACAATTGTATTTATATTTTTGAAAGCCGGTAAAATATCGATTAATTTACACAGATATACAAATGAATTAAGTTTTATAGAAACAAAAGGTGGGCAATTAAACATTGAAGTATTACATTACATATACATTTAGAAACAAAGACATGTTGATACAAATTATAGGTTGAGATTGACTAGAGTAAGAGAGAAAATACAATTTACCACCGCTTGTGTTTACAGAAATGATCCAGATGTAAACATTCTGTGTTGTGCTTAAGTGCGTAACACATTGACTACCCTGGACGAAGTAAATGGGATACAGTATAATAAAGAGAAAATCGATTCAAATAAAACGGCGCCTGCATACCATCTAAGCATAATAAACAACTTTATTGTTCACAATAATCTCCCCAGTTACTTGTTGATGTTCGAGATGGATTAGCATAGCCAAAAATCTTAGATTCTAATGCTTTTTTTTTTATTAAGTCATTCAATGCATGCCAAAATAGAAGCAGTAACTTACATACGCTATTAAATTTTCTTTAAATGTTCTTTTTGCTAGTTTGTATTGTAAATATAAAACAATTACATTTAATTATACTATTTGGATGTTTCGTTCAATTAGTATTGTTGTTAGTTATTGATATTCTTATGGACAGGTACCGTATAATTTATAATTCATTTTGGCCTATATATAGGCCTACATCAGTTAGAGAAGAATACAGTTAAAAAGAAATATATAAATCGTTCAAAATTAAAATTATTTTTGTTGTTCGTGTTGTCTTATAGCAAATGAAAGAAATTAAGTGACATATAATATAACAAACGAGAGGAGGGTGATAACAAACTATAAGTAAGCGCTTTACTAGAGCAGGTGATGTTATTTTAAGATTTTAAGCAAGGAGTGGTGAATCGATGGACGTGGGGGATGTTTCGTGTCTTACATAGCTTATACTGCTACCGATTTCATTGCGTCACGTTAACGCAGACAATGAAGACACAATTGATGGCGCGCGGCAGGTGGACATGAGTTTAAATTGCAAAGACGGCGACCTACGCGAAACAAATAATGAAAAACGAGACAGGAAGTGTAAAAAAATGAAACTAAATAGAATTAGAGTGAATAATGGGAGGACGAGACCAGCTTTGATGAAAGGGGGTTTGGATTATGATGGTGACAAGATGATGGTGAACGAAGTGATATTATTCGTTTGTTGACAACGCAATTGACGTGAGGCGCAAACATGTGCAAGGATGCAAAAAGGATAAAGATAATCGATAACTGCTGTTAGCAATTACCTAAGATCATTTTAGTTAGGCATATATGCATAGTAAACAACGTATAAACACACCTGTGTTTGCGGGACACCATGTGTGCTTGTGTGACAGGCGCGTATAACCCTAGCTATGTTCTTATTGGTCAGTTGTTAAGTTTGATTGACACTCTAAACGGATATCAGCATGATACTGATACGCCCTCAACGAATTTGAAACGATGAGGCAGGATATCTCAAGAGTAGGATTCATTATACAGACTTTTTTTCTTTTAAATAACGTTCGCATGTCCTATAGGACACACTGCGCCAGGTCGGCAGAATTTTACGAGACTTCTACACGGCGACGTACGTTTTGTGCGACGGATCGTTTTCAACGACGACCCGCTTAGAATCCACCAACAGCCTGCGGTCGGACATGCGCGGACGGTCGGCGGACGCAATGTGTGCCAGACAATTGTTTTTAAAATACAACATATTAACAACCTATTATGTTTATTATGATTACATTAGAAGTTAATATAATTATCACAATCATCACTTTATAATTAAAGATGTACCGTATGGTTCCCTGAAAATGTCACATCATTAAAAATTGAATTGTGATTTTTACTTTAAGTAATAAAAATATAATCAACTTGGGCATACAAATTAGTGAATAAAAACATACCCAGATTTTTATCCATTTATATACACAAACATATATATATATATATATATATATATATATATAAAATCGTAACTACAATGAAATAAAATACGAGAAAATTTTAGAATTTTACATAGTTAAAATCTATAGGCCTAATAATAATATTCCACAGTTAAAATTATGAAAATTGCATAAACAACGAATTTCATTTTAAAAAAACAGAGAACACCAATTAAAAAATAAAATTAATAAACGACATATTTTTTATCCTTATCCCGGATAATGACCAAAAAACAATCACTGAAGAGTTTCTATCATTTTTATCAACAAGCTCTTGCACAGGGCATACATTTTCAACTGCGCATATGAGGACATCAATGTATGATACCGTATAATAATGATGATAATAATAATAATAATAATAATAATTATAATAATAATAATAATGATAAATGATTATTATTATAATTATAATAAATTGATAATTATAATAACAATGATGATTATGGTGGTGTAAGTGGATGACAATGAAGATGATAATGATGATAATGATGTTGATTAAGTAATAATAATAATAAAAATTTAATGGGTATTTGAGCGGCGTCTATCTTGTTTCCTAGATGAAAGCTTACTTTCCAGATTAGTATCGTCACGCATACTGGAGGTTTTGAATGAAACTCGTTTCATTGTTCTTGGACTCATTCCTCCTATACACGACGATGATTGCGCTTTCTGGCGCTTCATTAAACATCGTTTGGTCTTCACGCTTGACTTTGCGTGTGCATCCGCCGTGGATGTATCTGGATGTCTTCCAGAAGCATTGATGCTCAACCGAGGCGTCACTGGGCTTCTTAATCTAGGACTTGAGTCACTGACATCATTAAGACCTAGATCAATTTCGTTAGATATTCCGTTGTCACGCTTAGGCCGAGTAGGGTCGTTGCCAACAGTCAGACAATATATTTCTCCGTGGTCTTGATTTCTGGACAAATTAGACGGTAATTCAGACTTTCTGGGAGAGTTAGTTGAACCTGCTGTGTTCCAAGAATTCGTTATGATGTCTTTCTCTGAGCTACCACATTTGTCGTTATGATTTCGAGACAGTGGTGCACCTCTTGAGACTGGCCTACCGCCAACGTCAGATGATTTGCTCGTGCTATAGTCCTGAGCATCCTGACGTACTACGGATTGTGCTTTAATCGGAACTAACACTGATTCAAGTCGTTGAAAACGTGGGTCTAATGAGCTTCTGCTACGTGATTGACTATGTTTCAGTTCTAATCGGTTCGGACTGGATATGCGGTGGGATACGTTTGGCCTAACAAGGTGACAAATGTTCTTAGAACGTCTTAACTCCTCCGGCGTCCGTGCTCTACGGTTGTAGAAGTGACTGATCCCTATTAGAGACTTAGAATGGCAGTCAGCATGACCAATACACCTTTGACACTGACCTTGAAGACTGCGTTCATTATCGTCTGCAATCCTCAGAACAGTTGTTACTTTATTCGTGCAAGTGTCTTCGATTGTAATAGATGGTGTCACGTTGAGGGTGTCAGGTAGACTGCTGGAATGATGAAGTTTCGGCGATTTTCTACTAGACAGACTAGCTTTACCATGATTCTCTGAAAGCGTCAGACTGTTTCTGCTGATTGGACTATCGGCTGAGAATTGTTTTCCCCATGCGGATGACGTTTTTCCGTGCTCCGGTGATGGACAGCCCAAACTGCTGTTCGATATCTCTTGCGAACAGTCGTGAGGTCCATATATCGGTGGTAGTTTTCCCCCTAATTTAGAGCAAATGCATTTTGTTTCGAAGCTGTGTCGTCTGACATCGCGTCCAATTTTTCGCAATTCATTCGCTTCCCGTGTCAGCAACTTCATCTGCTGTTTTGATTCTTTTTCCAATTTCGCTATCTCTAACGCCAACTTTCGTTCAGATACACCAGTACTGTCTATCACCGCATCTTCTTTACTCGGAAGCTTTATGCGTTCCGTTGTTGGTACAGGATCTCGTCCATGATTACTGCAATTTGGTCCATGATACAAATAGGTGCGCAGAGCACGTTCGCAACAACCGCGATCTTTCAGGGCACGATCAACAAAACTATGTTCAACACAACTGCTGTCTAATTCAACTAATTTCTTGTCTTTTGTAGCTTCCATTCCACCGGGTAGCGACATAAATTTCACATTATCGTTTAGATTTAATTATCTGTTCCATATCGTTATCAATTATGGTAAGCATAATTTTGATAAGTATAATTTTGATTGCCTTGCTCTCATCAGTCGGAGAAACATTTGCTTCAACGTATACAAATCAAAAGACTTTCTACGTGTGTAGCTAATCCAGTTTATGATATTACGTCCATAATGTAGCACTCAGAGTACATGCGCTGGGCACCTGTGTTCATAAACCCAAATCGATTTCCTTCTAATTGGCAATAACAAATCAAGAGGTTTTATACGATGATCACGTGGTAGAGCCATTGCGTGCACACACACGTCATTACTTCCGCTGAGTATCGTACTATGCGTGTGTGTTTTTTAGATATCCAAAGCCATTTTTAATTCAACAATTATAATTCAATTCACATTTTGCTTTAAAGTAGGCCTAAATTGACACAAACAATTGACACAAAATATTCAACCACGATGCACGTAGACCTATGACTTTATTACTCCACATTCGTATAGGCAGCATATAAGGACAGACATAGGCCTGCATGGTGTCAGTGTAAATAGGCATAAATCACCGGATTTGTTGTGGTTTTGTATTTATTCTATTGAATTGTTTCTGGTTTTTTTTCTCGTGTGCCGTTTTTAACTTGTTCTCACATGTATAAATTCAAGATTGCTTTTATTAATACATTTCGTTTTAAACTTTACTGTTAGTGAAATTTAATTTAAAAAAAATTCAGTTCCCTTAATTTCGTGTCCTAATAAGAGCGGATTACATTATTGTCATTCACCCCACCATATGGACATCGTAAACCTCTATGTTTAGAAATCACGATTTTTTAACTCATTAATTCCATAAATGTAGAAAGTATTGCGTTAAGCCACTATTTTTTTAAATTATTAAACTGTAATTAATAAAAATTATATCGATACGATGCGGCAGTTTTTTTTGGTTTGCTGAAACTTGTATGTATATAGATTACGTATTTTGGATGTCAATTATTAAATACCTTATGAATCAGGCCCGTAGCCAGGTTCTTCCAAGAAGTGGGGGGGGGGGGGCTTCTGGGCTTGAGGTCCACAGTCGAAGCCCACGTAGTTTATTTGGGAAATTTAAAGAGGGGTTTCGCCAGAAAAGAGGGTGTTTGCTAGAAAAGGGTGATTCTCCCGAACCTTAAAACATCCCCTGGATACGGGCCTGTGAATAAGTTTACGAAATCCAAAAATCGGCTCTCTCTCTCTCTCTCTCTCTTTCGCTCTCTCAAGTTTGCTGTGAGGATTAACAAATATTGGGTGTACCCCCTCTATAGGTTTGAAGATGAGCAACTCTAATGACGTAACGTCATATACAGCGCAAGTCCAACGTGTAGCGTTGTAAATACAACCGTGTGAGAATTTTTTGGACTACAAGTATATCATTAGTATTAGGTTATGGCTCAAGGGAGGAAGAAGAACAATGTACAGGTACCTGGAAAGAAAAGCAAAAATAAGCTATCTAAACATCAACAAAAGAAAGCTCTTGGAATGAAGAAAGGAGGTATATATATGATTATTATTTTGTTAAAAACCTAGGCCTAGTATAAGTTCAACAATGATTGTTTACTTTGTCGTTGTTAAACAAAGGCTGCAGCATATCAGCCTGGAACCGGGTATGTATCCTGTTGACGAGGTATCATGCCTAGCCTAGACCTATAAGCGTTGTATTTATTAAATCTGAACGTAAAATTAACTTGAATATGCGGTAATGCACTTTAGTGCTCCACCCTAACCCTAACCTTAACAATAACATAGGAATACTGCAGCTGAGGTTAGGGTTAGGGTGGAGTACTAAAGTGCATTAGCGCCCTTATTATATATTAATACATGCTGGCGCTAATGCACGTTATATGTAAGTCAATCGTGACGTCATCACTAACTTCCAATGTTATTTCCCCAGCGTCCACTAATTTTTGTATAATATTGGACGCTCGGCTTGATTTTTTTAAGGTTCGTGTGCAAAAAAAATTTTCTCATTTTTTCGTCACCACGGCGAATACATCGCTCACCGCGATAAAAATTGAATTGTAATTGAAAATTACTTTCGTAAAACAAGCTTAATTCAAACCCGAAGAAAGTTACTTCAAATTCAATATTAAGTATGAAAAATTAAGGAATTCATTGAATCAATGGACCCTCATAAACACAACAAACTGAACGTTTAACAGGAATATATTCTAGACCTATTTTAAAGACTCAAGGAACAAATTAAGATGTAGGCAGGAGGCCGCCCGGGCCTCCTCATACTACTACTAGGCCTTAGCCTAGCCTAGTTGTGAAATCATTGCACAATTTTACCTCTCTGCATGCACCGACCAAAAAGGATGTCAGTGACTGTATTCTCTCGAATGCTGAAATTTTTATTTCTTTGACGAAAGACTATCAAAGTAGCATTACAAACAAGTTCTTTCTAACACAATAGTTATTCATCGTATCTTTGCTGTACTGCTGATGTGTAGTCCAAAAGCGTACTGCAGGAGCAAAAATCAGCATACGCACAGCTAAATTTAAATACGCACACGTATACTGATCATATCACTATAGCAACCGATGACTGCTACAACAGTTGGTTATAAAAAACTAAAATTAAAAGACGGTGATTGACTTATAAAGCAATCAGTAGCGCATGCATCCTACACTAAATGGAAAATTATTATACTTAGGTTAGATTTAATGCATTCAAAAATTTCCTTCGGGCCTTGCAGACCCTCAGGAAATTTTCTCAAGCATTAAATCTAACTTTTGTATAATAATTTTCCTATAGTGTACTATGCGGAGCTCTACTAATTGCTTATTCGCACCTAACTTTTAATTTAATTTTCTTCTCACAGTCACAACACATAATTATAAAACATTTTTACATGATTCAACCACCGATCGTAAAGTACATTTTGGCAAATAGTTTGCCAAAAACATCCAGATGGAGGAGAAAATTAAATAGCATTTTATTGGCGAATGTAAACAATGTAGTAATGGGATGGCTAAATGCTTTAAATTTATATAATTAGGAAGAAACAATGGGCATAAAAAAATAAAGAAAATGTTTGTTTTTTTTCAGAAATTTCCATTTTTGTGGTGGTGGGTGTGCTAATTGGCCAAAAATAACATTTTATTTTATTCAAAATCATCATTATTGGCGAGCGACGTGTTCACTAAACAAGGTATAAAACAAATTTCGCCTTAACTGGTAAACTTGTTTGAACAGTGTGGATTCCAAATAAGCTGGATAGATCACCCTCAGTATATGTAATACACTTACAAAACTGATACTCCTTTTTAATACAAGTCTACGGTAGATCATTGTACTAAGTAATACTAGCAATAATAATTTGTAAACATATATCTGAATTATATTTCTAGCTCGTCAGATTGCACCAAAAAAAGCCAGAAAAATTGAAGAAATCAAGTTACAAAAGGTAGGTAGTCACATAAAGGATTACTGTGTTAGCACCACACTAACAGTTACACATTAATTTGAAGTATTTTGTTATAAACAATTATATTATATTTCCCATAATTACTGAATTGTAAAGGTCAACTCAGACAGCATCGTACGATGCAGCCCGACTTGGTTTATCACTAGAGACAGTCTTTAGGTTGTCATGAAAATATTAAACATGTTTGATATTCTATGACGCGACTGTTCCCAACGCAGAACTATTGCATCTATATTTAATACAATACAATACAAGACAATAAATTATGTCGGGGTGTGTTGTATGTCGTTGCTTTAGGTGGCCTTTGGTCCAAAACTCTCTTTAACCTAGTATACAGAAATATGAATAATTAATTGTGTATTTATTATAGTGAAGAAATTTCATAATGCTTATTTGAACTTCCTCTGTAGAATTTAACCAAAGCAATTGGCTGTAACATTGAGAAGGAAATTACAGCTAAAGCCAGCATGAATGAAGCGAAACCCTTCAAAGTTTTCCCTAAAAAGGGTGAAGGAGACCAGACGAAGAAGAAGAAGAAGTAGTAAGCTATTGTATACAAGCGAGTAGGGAACTTTGACCTTTCATGTCAATTGAGGATCTGTTGAAAATTTAATCATGCAGAGAGCTACTCATCTTGTGATCGGATGCCAGCAAACCAGCTAGTATGCATTTTATGTGCAACTTAGTATGGGATGCCTGTGTGGCAGGAGTCTTGGTGTACCATTTAAATGATGGAATCTTTATAACTATTGGATGTACTTGTGATACTGGGTGAAACTCTGAGGGTGCCGCAACAAGCATTCTCATTTTAATTAAATGAACGTGTGTCCTTGTGCAGACAAGAACAACTAAAAAACAATACAAATTAGTTTCTACATATTCTTTCCATTTTGTCTGGCACAAAATTTGCCACACTGGGTTTGCTTGTAAAATACTAATAGTATATATGTTTGCTTATAATGTAGTACCCTATAAACATCTCAGAGAGCTGCTTGTGAAGCTAGAAGAGAATCAGCTATTAGATGGTGTGATTAGTCTTTCACCCTCTACTAACGTTTAGATTGATTTGCACATCAGAATCCTCTGGCTTCATCCTATTAGTGCATAATTCCCAATGCATACACTCCACCTTGTTAACTGAAAGGTCCACTGATTAATCTCAGATAAGATAGTATAATACATACTCCAAGTATCGAAATGCACGCCATCGTGTCGGGATTCAATATTTCAACATTAATTATGTCATCATCAGGAATGAAAAATTATCCATATTTGCAAGCTTATATACACAAGTACCAAAAGTGTTTGACCAATCAAAATATTACAAGTAGGTGACATAGCTATGAATAAAGTAAAGATCAAAGCATTCTTATTGTATGTAGACGGGGCAATAGGTAATGTCCATCTAACAAATGAATCCCACTTTGGCAAACTGACTGATGCGGAGGAACCTAAGACTATCACATGATGGAATGCAGAGAAAGAAAGGACACAGTCATAACATTCCCTATATGACATGTTAAGCTGTTGTTTCTTTGCAGCGGTGACGACGACTTTGGGGTTAATGATAGCAAGCAAGCATGCTAAGAAAGAGTCTGATTTTCTTGAAGTAGCACATTTTGTTTAAAAACTCCATTTTATAAAATTATTAGTCGTTAAAAAAAGCTACTTTTATAAATAATTGGAATGGAAAATCATGTAATAAAACATGTCCGGATATAAAGTGAGATGTGTTGAGATTGTTCGGAATCAACAAGTTGTTGTGGTATTATTAGTGAAAAATCTTTACTTCCTCCACATACCCACCCCTCCCTCACACACACACACACACATTTACTACAATTCACAACAGTACACATTTTTTTTCTGAATTATTTATTATCATCCTAAAGACATATTCATCTAAAATAACACCAGAATCAGTGTCTGGTATTATAGATTTATATATTTTTCAATCAAATATTGATTAACATTCTTGTGTACCACAATCGTTATTGCTACATAATGAGTTGTCTAATTAATTGCAATGTAAATCAGAATCAGAACCTACTATATTAAATGGAAGTCACGTGATATAAATATACCTGCTTGGACTCCTCACCATGTTCTGTATCTACACACTTCTTCACCAAATACCATAACCCTGTGTATCTGTAAATGCTTGTATAATATATACATTATACTAATTTGCTGAATAATACTATAAGAAAAAAAATCCCAAACCCCCCCCCCCCCAAAAAAAAAAATTATATTCTAGAGCCGCCACTGTGTATAGGGCTAATTATATAATTATATATATATATAATTATTATATATTATATATGAATATAGAGGTAACTGGTTTTAGTGGCGGATCTAGAAATTTGAAATATAGGGGGCCCTGGGAGGTACATTCATTAATGGAGAGTGAAAAAATTTATGATTATGACACCCCCTCCCACCATTGAAGCTGCCACAGGGTTTAGACATCTCAACTCATAATTATGTTTTTAAATAAAAAGAAAACATGAAGGTGCACATCCAGAAAGCCTTGCAATTTTAACAATTTTAATTTAATACAGTATTCAGTTTTATGTACATTATGTTTTCTATGTTTCAACTTTGGTTTGAAGAAAAAAATTCAGTATGCATTGGTTTTGCGAGGTTCTACTGTACATTAATGGAAAAATATTTATTAATGAAGTTGACAATACTATCACAATTATGTTAATTATTTTTGAATAAAAAATTATGAATCAATATACTATTCAGAAATAATAAAATACTTTAACAATATACATGACATTGATTTAAAGCCAAGTAAAAACTTAGTTTCTTGCCCATGCCTACTCAATTTTTTTATTTTCTTGCTTCCACAATTATTTATCTCTTTAGCATTGTATTTTTTATTTGCTGGACAAACATATTTCTATTTCATATTTCACATTCAGCAACTTTTTTAAAAAGTTTGTACAAGAATCTAACTTTTTATTTTACTTGGCCTAATCATGCTCATTTTGCTCTCATGGATTCGACTACTGTTTCAATTGATTTAGGAGGAAAATTTTGTCATTTAAAAGTCCTTACTTCACAACTAAGTTCTTGTCATAAATTTAATATTCTATTGATACAGTATATGGTTTAATGTTCCTAATTTTATTTATGTAATGTACTGTATGTTGTATATGACTGAATATTACAACAAGGAAGCTAAATTTAACATTCAATTTTATATCTTTAAATAGTGATCTTGTAACAATGTAAATAAAAATAATAACACTCCATTTAATTTAATTGCACAAACTAGAATTATGCACATACTAAAGAATAATCTTCAGAACTATGCTACTTAAATTAAGATAGTGACCGGCTCTGGCAAAACCCGCCATTAGTAGGCAAATTTCAAAATTGAGTTATTGGTATTTTTATATTCTGCATGAATTGTTCTTTAAAACAGTGTTTATTTAATGGAATTTGGTTGAGTATTAGCGAAGTTATGAATATTTAATTCACTGGTTATCAGGCATGTATGTTTCAGAATATACCTTCCAAAGATTCCAAATTCAATAGTTTATTATTAAGGCTTGTATTTTAAAGATAATTTTTATATACTTTTCGGTTAGATTTAGTGATTGATATTTTACAGAAATGTTCTTCAATATATCTTCTTTTATAAAATGCAAAAACATGAAAATGTTCATAATTATGATTCTCGAATGGTTTGGGTGTTGGAGGGAAATTAGCAATTCTGCCAAACGGAGGGTTTTGCCAAAGCAGGTCACAAATACAAATTCAAATACAAATGTAGCACAAAGGAAGCACAGGCCGTTCAGTACAGGCAAGGTTTCGGGAGAGTACACAAATAAATAAAACGGTTTTTATGGTTTTTTGTTTTCGTGTTGGCACAATTGAATTGTTCCATTCAATTTAGATTTCCTCTATCATCTTGATCCAATTCAATTGCCTCGAAAAGCGACTTGAAGTTTCCAGCACCAAATCCCTGCAAATAATTGAGAATCGGATTTAGAGCAGCAAAGGTTAGCCAGCCAAACTGGTGGTAGACATTGTGTGTCCACTGAACTGTAGAGATCTTTTCAGAACTCTGGTCCCTGGCTGTATTCCATCATCGCTGCTCACCTTGTACACAATCACACACTGTCTTCAAGCTAGGAGACAACACAACACTAGGCAAATTTATTTACGCCAATGGAAAGCATTAGTTCGCTTCCTCAGCTCTGATTGGTTGCATATTTTTTGGTTTGCAGTATTCTTAATTTTGAAACAAGTAAAAGTATTTATCTTAGTATACTTTACTTACGGAATGATTCTTTCTTTGGATGACCTCCAGGAATAGTGTGGGTCGATCCTGGCAAGGTTTCGTGAAAATCTGCAGCAGGTAGCCATTATCATCGTAGTCGATGAGAATCTTCAACTTTTGTATCTAAAGGATCATCAAAGTAGAAACAGGATGAGTTAGCGCAGTGGTACGAGGATTAAACTTTAGTGCACAGACCCAGTTTGAGACCTGCCAATGCCGAAATTGCTTGTGTTCACAGGTACGGCACTTTGCTCTGATTACCTCGTCCTCCAGATGAGATATTAAGCTGTTGGTCCTGTGTGTATATTAGCATATACGCATGAAAAAGAACATGTTACACTATTTGCAGAGAGTGGGCGAATCATCTCTCAGTGTACCAACGACAGCTGCCACACGAGACCTTGGGGGGGGGGGGCCAAATCAGAATTTCCATGTTTCTCAACAAAGGACCAATATAATATTTCCACTTGCATACATTAAGACAATAATATACCTGCCAAATTTGTATATAGCACCCTCTATGTAAAAATCATGAAATAGAGCGCAATCTATGTTATTTTTTTAAAAACTGTAGTGGAACTGTTACTGTTTACATTCGTCGGTCAGTATAGCTTTTTAATGACGAATTCACTTTACGAAAGTTTTATGATGCGTGAGATAATACAACGTAGGCGCGAGACTTTAAAAGTGGATGCTCATGCATGAGACTGTTGGCAGGTGTACAATAATGACAGATACATTTCTAAAGGAACAAAAAATGTGATGATGATAATAAATAATAATATTAATAATATTACATTTATATGCAGTGAGAGAGAGAAAAAAAGTTTTATTAAAGGCTGAAGGATTTCACTCAGTTTGCCTCAACACCTGGGTTTTGATATGCCAATTAGTGTAACAACCATTATTAGTCAACGTACCACATCCAAGTCCTCTGTAACTTTGATTGGTGAAGTTTTCAAACGTTCTCGTAAGTTGTTATAGTATCTGTCTGGTATGTTAAGGAAGTTCATTCCACGCTTCTTGAGGTTAGTGACAGCTGTGATGATGTCACTGGTGTTGAGGGCGATATGCTGAACTCCGGCACTTCCGTAATAGTCACAATATTCCTTAAGGAACAACATTTATGAGGATGATTATGTAAATAGTAACAATAATATGTGTAGTTATACTATAACTTTATTTAATGTTTTGGCACAATAATATGTGTAGTTATACTATGACCTTATTTAATGTTTGGGCATTTAAAATAGCACTTTCCACTAAGGTCTGGTGATTGAAAAATCTAGACATGGAAAAATCAAGAAAGCCCAAAATACTCACAAACAGTAAGACTTACATATTGTGTGGTAAAGGTGTGCAGTAAACTTTTAGCTTGCAGCATTATTGTACTGAATTGTCTATGAGCATAGTCAGTGAGTATCACAGTAACTGAACAGAGGTCACCTATACATTGACCTCAACCCTCCCACCTCCACACACATGCACACAACCTGTAGATACATTCCCCTTCACAGTACCTGTATCTGACTCTTTTTCTTGCCAGGGGCTGGTTCATTAATTGGCATTTTGATTGTTTCTTCGTAGTTGGTCACGACGACGGAACGAAGGGCACTGTACTCGGTGTGGAGCTGATCGTCGTCAACCGACCAGAAGCGATGAAATTGCAGATTTTTCTCATACCTTCAGAAACAAAGTGACAAAAACAAAACTTATAAAATATAATTTATTCTAAATCTGTTAGTACAGATATGATAGGATGTCTTTATTACCATATTATTGAGTGCCACATTTTCCATGGGGAAGCGGTTAAATTTTGTAGTTCAAATAATAATACTATGTTCTATAAATTTGAAATAGAAAGTTTAATCACTATCAATTTTCCTGTCTCAAATCCCTGTGATTTGCCATTATAATTATATGATGTCATATCATACCCATATATGGAAAAATCGCATAAAATTTAAAAATCACATCACATAAAATTTAAAAATGTTAATAGAGCTTAACATTAGGCTTACACAGAATACCATGTGTTTAAGTGCCTCTGTCAGAAGAGAATGAATATAATTATATAAATATAATATATAGTCTGTGTTTGACCAAATGAATTGGAACAAAAATTTGAATTACATGTACACATGTAATTACCACTCCCAATGCTTTACATTGACCCTCTAATTGGTTGCCAGAAAATTTATAAATTGTGGTAGTAAAAAGTTTGTAAATTAGCAAAAAAATGATTTTCTTCTATCTCTGTCTCACTCAAAGATTACTTATTTCATTCTTTTAAGAGAGCAATTCATTGATTTAATTTTTTTATTTTTTTATTTTTCCAGATTTTAAAGTTGACGGTAAATTAATAACACTAAAGTTCTATCCAGATTATAAAATTTTCTTTGACATGTTGTATGCCCATATATGGTCATGATGTGTCTATATATGGTCATAATGTGATGTCATCATGACCATATTTAGTCATGTCACATGTTTTTGTCAAATAAAATTTGATAGCCTGGCCAGGCCTTTATATAGAAGTCACTGCATTACATACCAATCTACTGCTGGTATCATTCCGTCATCTGGTTGATTGCCAACAATATGATCAATAAAATTCAATCCAGATGGTGGCCTATAAAACAAATCAATCATTGGTTAATATCATGGTACTATGGTGTGAATAATGAGACCACTGCATTATAGGGATCTCTCTAGGTGTTGTCCAACATTACACTGGAAATTTGTTCTTTGACAATATGAAACACCTAAAATTAAAATAAAAAACAAAGTATGATATGTAATAGTAGTAGATTGATTTATATAGTGCAGATAAACGAGGTCTCTATGCGCTCGGGACTAGATGTTGCACTTTTCAATAACTTTCTCCTCCCCTGAGAATCACTTCATGTCCACCGAAGCCAGTAAACTGGTGCACTTTCACCTGTCCATAAAAGACATTTAAAATTCACATAATAATAATTAATAATTTTAAATCGCTATATTAAAATTATTAAAATGAAAATTAAAAGTGGCCATTACTTAAAATAACTGTAAAATGCAGTCTTGTTTTAAGACCTAACTATGGTAAAAATCTATCCATTGCCTTTCACTACCCCATTCTCGAATTTCTGAGTTCAGGCTGAGGTCTAAGATTATCCATTAAATTTGAGAAACTCACAAATTAGTGAGAAGAGGATCAACTTCGGTAGAACGCCTGTATCCAGGTAAGAAACACCCATTGTAATCAGATCTCTCAACAAATGTGTGTGTTGTATCACCATACTATAGATGGAAAGAAATGGGGGAAAAATAGAATTAGTGTATTGCCATTATCTTGGACTAAAATGTCTATATCCTCTTACCAAAATTAATATTCCATAAAATTTCATCTTAAATGGAAGAAATATAACTAATAAATATAAATTGAATTAACAAGTATAAATACAAGTATAAGTCAAAACACTGACTGTTGTTGAGCTTTGTCAAAAGCAATTAAAAGACTCCAGGCATATTTATTATCAACAATACAACAAAATCCAGTTGAAATGTGGATCCAGGTGCTTAAACAATGGGTTAAAGAAATATACAAAAAAAAAACAATATTGTAGTACAGACAATAAATATTCAAAATATGTAACATTTAAACATTAAAATACTGTATATATTACATACATTAATTAAAATGTTTAAAGAATTATAAAGCTGAATATTGTGACAAAAGATATTAGAAATTGAAGTACTAATTATTAAAAAAACTTGTCACAGACAGCAGGTTCTCATATACGATATATTGAATGAATTTTATCACAGGGTTATTAGGTTCAGTTAGTGCAAACACCATGTCACATTCTAATGACTAAAAACAGGTCCATTCCCTAAGCCTCATAATGAGAATTAGTTTATAAAGCATGAGGAGCTGATGATGGGGGAGGTGCAAAGATGAATTGGGGGGGGGGGGAAAGAGGTGCTAGCTCATAAAATAAGGTGATATGGGGTGATTTTTATCTACTTTACTGTGATTCTGAGTCGAATGACCAAGCGGTTAGCAGGGACGCCGCAAGCTATAGCCATAATATC